CGACCCTTCTATCCAATTCTATCCAAAAACCTTCCAAATAAAGACCGCTCGATATGCCTTCAAGAATGCCAAAGAGAAGCATGCAATGAGCAACTGTTATCACGCGACATAAAACACTGTCAAGTTGCTCACAAAAAGAAGGGGAAAGAAAATGAAAAAGAAAAAAAATGAAAAAGAAAAGAAAAGTCCATGCCCAAGAGTACAAACTGGGATAATTCTTAGAAAGTTACAAGTGAAAAAAAAATGAAGAAGAAAAGAACTGTCAAAGGTCCATGCCCCCAGAAAATAGAAGCTGGGGCAACTTGCTTTTAAAACAAAAAGAAAAAAGAAAGGAAAAAGAAACAGAAAGGAAAAAAATTAAATTAGTTGGGTCAGATGTTTGAACTACGTTCAACATGATTCCTTTAAAAAAGGGTACGTAGGCAGCCTCACGGTTCGGTTTAACCAAATAAGAATTAAAAAAAAAGCCAAAAATCCCCAATATCTGAAACTGGGGCAAAGATTTTATTTCACTTTTGAAAGAGTCGATTCCAAGAGTTGTAAGTCCACAACCCTTCATTTTGAGTCTTCCTTGAGCCATCATGCCGACCCTTCTGTCCAATCCTATCCAAAACCTTCCAAATAAAGACCTGCCGATATGCCTTCAAGAATGCCAAAGAGAAGCATACAATGAGCAACTGTTATCACGCGACATAGAACACTGTCAAGTTGATCACAAAAAAAGGGGACAGAAAATGAAAAAGAAAAGAAAACTCCATGCCCAAGAGTACAAACTAGGATAATTCTTAGAAAGTTCAAGTGAAAAAAAAAATACAGAAGAAAAGAATTGTTAAAGGTCCATGCCCCCAGAAAATAGAAGTTAGGGCAACTTGCTTTTAAAACAAAAAGAAAAAAGAAAGGAAAAAGAAAAAGAAAGGAAAAAAATTAAATTAGTTGGGTCAGATGTTTGAACTACGTTCAACATGATTCCTTTAAAAAAGGGTACGTAGGCAGCCTCACGGTTCGGTTTAACCAAATAAGAATTCAAAAAAAGAAGCCAAAAATCCCCAATATCTGAAACTGGGGCAAAGATTTTATTTTACTTTTGAAAGAGTCGATTCCAAGAGTTGTAAGTCCACAACCCTTCATTTTGAGTCTACCTTGAGCCTTCATGCCGACCCTTCTGTCCAATCCTATCCAAAAACCTTCCAAATAAAGACCTGCCGATATGCCTTCAAGAATGCCAAAGAGAAGCATGCAATGAGCAACTGTTATCACGCGACATAGAACACTGTCAAGTTGCTCACAAAAAGAAGGTGAAAGAAAACGAAAAAGAAAAGAAAAAATGAGAAAGTCTTATTAGTGAAAACCCTAACAGGCACTATAAGACGATGATAAGCAGAGACGAATAAATAAGAGAAAGTTGTTGGTGAAAACCCATCGGGGCACCATTAGTCGAAAGTGAGACATGAAGTTGATGCAAAGTATTGGCCCTAACAAGCCTGACTTCAAAGGTCATAAGAATGGTAAAAGGGAAGATTAGATTAGTTTGATAGATCAGGCGTTGCATCCAAAATGCATGTCATGATCATTAAGGCTAGTTATTGAAAAAAAATGAAAAAGAAAAAAGAAAAAAAAACTCTTTCTTCTGTCCTTCACGACAAGGGCATTTCTTGTTAATATTGTTTCTTTGCATCATTGTGCCCTTCACTCTAAGTCCGTCCTTGTCAAAACAAACAAGAACAGATTTCAAAATCTGCTACCAGCTTTTCAGTTCCACAAAGTAAATTTGGCCAGCACACTCAGTTGTTACTATCAACATGCCTTGAGGATTCATGCAAAGGCTCCCCCAATAGACTCTTGTCAGCCTACTTAGCTAAAACAAGCAAAGCTAACCTCAAGGATAATCGGGTATTTTATGTAGTGCCGAATAAGGACTATGGAGTGTGCACATCATGCAAAAGGCACTTCTAGTGGTGACTCTCTTTGACAGACAGATTGCTCCAAAAGTAAGAAGTCATTCAAGATATCAGAAAAGGTCATCTAAGCAAAGATATTCAATTGGGATAAGGCTGATGGTACTAGGTGTGGAACAATTAGGGTTGATGCAGAGCAAAAGTTTCTTGAAACTGACTCAAGCTGATTGAGCGGAAGCCAAGCTGCCCAAGACTCAAGGCCATAAACCGACTACCATTTTCAAAACTGACAAATTTTTCTTTGTGTGAAACACGAACAAAGCTGTGCAAGGAAAGTGGTTCAAAAAAAATAGGGAAAAAGAAAAAAAAATAGAAGAAAAAGAAAAGAAGATAAGAGCCGACAAAGGGAAGTTTCTCAACTCTTTGCCTTTATTTATCATGCTATTGTACATAAAATCTTGCCATTGATCTTCACACTTTTTCCCCCTAGGATAAAAAGTCCTAGTCTGACGGATTTTCCTTCCAATCAAAATTTTAATCTGATGAATCTTTCTCCTAAGATAGAAGACCTAGTCTGATGAACTTTCTCCTAGGATAAATGTCTTAGTCGGATGAATTTTTCTCCTAAGATAGAAGACCTAGTCTGATGAACTTTCTCCTATGATAGAAATCTTAGTCTGATGAATCTTTCTCCTAAGATACCAAAAAAAGAAGAAAAGAGACCTAGTCTGATGAACTTTCTCCTAGGATCGAAATCTTAGTCTGATGAATCTTTCTCCTAAGATAGAAAACCTAGTCTGATGAACTTTCTCCTAGGATCAAAATCTTAGTCTGATGAATTTTTCTCCTAAGATAGGAAACCTAGTCTGATGAATCTTTCTCCTAGGATAAACATTTTAGTCTAATGAATCATTCTCCTAAGATAACAAAAGAAAACAAAGAGACCTACTCTGATGAACTTTCTCCTAGGATAAACATTTTAGTCTAATGAATCATTCTCCTAAGATAACAAAAGAAAACAAAGAGACCTACTCTGATGAACTTTCTCCTAGGATCAAAATCTTAATCTGATGAATCTTTCTCCTAAGATAGAAAACCTAGTTGGACGAACTTTCTCCTAGGATAAACATCTTAGTCTAATGAATCTTTATCCTAAGATAACCAAAGAAAAAAAGAAAAAAAAAGACCTAGTATGATGAACTTTCTCCTAGGATCAAAATCTTAGTCTGATGAATCTTTCTCCTAAGATAGAAAACCTAGTTGGACGAACTTTCTCCTAGGATCAAAATCTTAGTCTGATGAATCTTTCTCCTAAGATAATAAATTAGAAAACCTAGTCCGATGAACTTTTTCCTAGGATAGATGTCTTAGTCTGACGAATTTTTCTCCTAAGATATAAAAACCTAGTCTGATGAATTTTCTCTTAGGAAAAATTAAAAAAAAGAGGATGTCTTGATTAAAAAAAAGGTCTTTTGTTCATGCCTTTGAAAAAAAGCGTTGGGGCAATTTGTTTAAAAATGTTTTTTTGCTAAAAAAAAATCCTTCTTGGTTCATTTTAGCATAGGTACATAATTCAGTAGTCTCACTTTCCAACATAGGGTCTCCACTCCCTAGTTGATTTTATTTTAGATATATGGTCTCCACTTCCTAGTCTCCTTTTCCAACATAGAGTCTCCACTCCCTAGTTGATTTTATTTTTAGATATAGGGTCTCCACTCCCTAGTAGTTTTTCCAACATAGGGTCTCCACTCCCTAGTTGATTTTAGTTTGGACACAGGGTCTCCACTCCCTAATTTTTCTTTTCCTAAGGATACACATCCTGATTTTATTGCTTTCAATAAAGAAGTAGATTAGATTTTGTTAGAATAACTCAGGAAATTTTTCTAGTAAAAACTGGGGCAGAAAAATTTCGTTCATTTGTTTGCTTTGGTGCCTGAACATATTTTCACCGTGAGGCACAAGGTTTGAGATGACCAAAAGAAGAAGCTTCAACCCAAATAAAAGAAAAGAAAAACATGAAAAGAAGTTGAACTCTAAGTGCAGAAGCGGAGAAAAGATGCGGACTGCCCAAGATATGATTGATGTCACAAGCTTTGCATGTTCGCCTTGATCCGAAGAGCTGAAGAAAAATGAACCAGCATTCGCAGCTAACAAGCATCAAGATTCAGATTGGAGTCTGCAGGAAGAACCAGCCAAGACTCAAGATCAAGCTTTAGAAGATTTATAGATAGGAATCTTGTAACTCTTAGTTGATAGGTTTAGTTAGTCTTTTTACTTTTGGTTTTGATGTAATAACGGGACCGCGGACCGGAACCTCAACAGAACGGCACCTCAATCGGCTTTCCACCTTAGTACTCCATCAGTCTTCCTAATTCTGAACTACACGTGGCCTGATTCCTTTATAGTCAATGATATGTAGGCAGCTCAAATACTAGGGCTCAGTCACATTCTTCTTTTTCTTAGCATTTGGTCTCTATAATAAGGGTCGGGTCAGAAAACCTGTCTCGTCGTTCTTTGTCGGAAAACTCTTTGCGTTTCCAGACAAAGAGGGGCAGCTATAGAGATGTGATTTTTGACCCTCCCCATGATTTTTTATATTTTAGCATGTAAATATTTAGTTTAGGCCTAATATCGCTATTTTAACTAATTTTACTCTTTTACTTTATTTCGTCACAAAAATGAAAATTAAAAAAATATTTTAGCTTACATATCTTTCATAAATTTAAATAAAAAAAATTATACAAAAATAGTACGTTATCTTTATTTTCATATAATCTTGAAAACACAAAAATAGTTTCAATATAGTTTAGTTCAATTAAGTAAGACTAGTTTTATATTTTGTAGGAAGAGTTAGTCTTGGGTTACTTTGTCCCATTTTAATCTTGTAGTCCATTTTTTTAGTCTTTGGCCCAAATTTAAGGCTCAATAATACCAAACTCATACCCCTTAACCTAACGAAACTGAATACATACCTCTGTTATTATTGAAGGTAACTCAAAATGCTTATATCTCTTTTCACCAATGGTAAATAAGGATAATCTTCATTAGCTGGGCAGAATTCTTTCTTTTAACGTATACCAGAATCTTCTAGACTCTAGACCCTAGATCCCTAAGCAGCGTCGAGCGATAAACACCCCACCAAACGAAACTGACCCTGAACTTCATCAATCAACAATAGAGCAGAGCCCTTCTTCTTCACAAACCCTTCACCAGCCGCCCCCTAACCTAACACCTCCTCATCTCCTCCGCCCCGAACCTTCAGCGAAAAACCCCTTCACAAAAAAAAATACACGCACACACGGTCAGAGAACAAAAGGGCATGGGAGAAGAAAAAAAAGAATTTGATTTCAGCTCCATCTTTAGCTCAAAAACGTACTTCTCCACAAAAATATGTCTTTTCTTTAAGTTACTTTACAGTGTTTTTTCGGTTTTCCAATGCTTCAACAAGAGCTTTCTCTTCTCCTTTACTTAGTGCACTGAAAATAGTCCATATTGGTAGAGTGCAGGGCTTTTGTTGTTGAGATCTTGAAAATTATTCACATTAGAGTCCAAAATACGGACAAAGATAGAGATACAGAGCACCTGGGAAAAAGGTATTAGAAAATAAAAGAGTAAATATCGAGAGTTAAAGAAAGGAGCAAGCGAGCTTTTCTTTTTGGTTGCTTTTCCTCCACCATGACTAACTCTTTTTTCTTTTAAAAAAACCATTGAAAGCCACTAAGTTTTACCAAAAATCAGTCCCTTCATAAGATTCATCATGAAGCTTTAGTTCAAAAAAAGTAAGACATCGCCTCTGTTCTCTTTAACTAAACAGAGTAGAGATTCTATTTTGTGGTTTGAGTTACGAAAGATTGCGGGCTTGCTCGAGTTTTTCGCTATCTGAGAGTCGAGTTGCAGTTCGAGGTTATTTTCATGGTCCGCAGATCGATCTCTTGCTGCAATTTCATTTTTCGGTAAGATTCAGTTTGTCAAAGTTTGATGTAACCAAGTTCTCGTTTAATACAAAAGGGTCAATTATCGAGATCCATTTCTATTCTCATCTCATATTTGTTTCAAGTTGTGCTGTTTTTTTTAATTACTTTTATTTTTTGAGTATTTCATGCTTTGTTTTGTTGTTTTGGCTTAATTTGTTTTATATTAGCTTCCTGTCTTCTTTCGGTATTATAGTTAATTTTGGATGGATTAATTTGAACCAATTGGGATTGAGTATGAAGGAAGAATGCAAATAGGTTATAATTTGATAGATAAGACAAATTTGATTTCGGCAAAGGGGGTTGATCTATTGCAAACTTGAAATTTAGATAATAAATGCTGACGGACCAAATCTTATAGGTTCCTGCACAAGATTTTTAAGGGTGAATTCTTCCATAATACTTTACATAACTCAAAGCCTTATAATAATCTCAAATTATTCTAGGAAAGAATACATAATTAATGAACATCGTAGCTTGCTTTAGGCACGCAATTAAATTATTACAACTACGGGTACGACTTCCGTGACGTGGTTGTGATACCTAGTTTTAAATGAGATAAAATAGGAGCACCTTTAGTTTGCCCTTTAAATATATATATATATATATATATAAACCTTTTCTTAAAATAATTGAGGTGTGCCATACCCAAACAAAACCTATAATACATGACCCTCACAAAATTAGATCAAGAGCTAATCCTTTTTTTTAGAAAATAATTTGAGGCACGTCATACATGAATAAAATCCTATAATCTATGGCCCTCACATAAATACAAAATTAGTATAGAAAATGCCATGATTTTTTGTAGTTTTCTTTAGGAGCGTTAATTAAATAATCGCCATAGCTACGAGTATGGTTCCCATGACGTAGTTGTGAGGCGCCCACCTGGAGAATGAGGGAGTTCATTTCAGGAGTTTCAAGTTTTAAGTCGGTAGCAGGCGCCCACCTGGAGAATGACAGAATTCATTTCAAGTTCCAGTTAGAGACGGCAGGATCCCTCCTAAAGAATAGGGGCAACCTCCAGTCCTGTTATCAATTCATGTTAGAAGTAGCAGAAGCTTGCCTCAAGAATGCGAATCAATAAGGGTTTGAGGTAACAAAAAAGAAGTCTCAATCAAGAATAAAATGAAAAGAAAACAAATGAATTCAATGTGCAGAAGGGGAGAAAAAATGTGGACTGCTCAAGACATAATTGAAGTCACAAGCTCTACATGTTCTGTTTGGATCTAAAAAAGCTGAAGAAGATTGAACCAACACCTGCAGCTAACAAACATCAAGATTCAGAATAGAGTTAGTGTGAAAAACTAGCCAAGACTCTAGATCAAGTTTCAGAAGACTCATAGATAGGAATCTTGTAACTCGTAGCTGATAGGCTTAGTTAGTTTATTTTTTCATTTTGATTTTGGTGTAATAAGGAGCTCAGCAAGCATAAACAATAGTGAAGTCACAGCTTCTCAGTAGTCCCAGCTACCAAAACTTCTACAACTACACTGACCTGATTCCTTTATTGCCAAGGATATGTAGGCAACCTCCGAATCAAGGTTCGGTCAAACTTTTTCAAAATGCTTCTCATGGAGTATCAATCGGGCAAAATTTATTCATATTGCTCGCTTTATTTTTGCCCGAAAACTCTTCATGTTTCCGAGCAAAGAGGGGCAGCTCTGAGCACCTAATTATTGCCATACATAGGAAATTACTCCTAAAATATTCAAAATAGCTTTAGTGACTTTTGTAGATCTTAGGAATTTTTATTTTTATTTGTTTAGCAATCATTTGCACTTTTAGCATGTTTTAGTAGCATTTCAAATCACAAAAATAATAAAAAATATTTTTTGTCTTGCTTTTTGCATCCTTAGATATTTACTTGCATTATTAACATTTAATTTGCATTATTAAAATATAAAAAATACATTAGTTTGTTTTGCTTGTTTTAGCATTTTAGTTTTAATTAATAAGTTAATTAAGTTAAATAATTGATCAATTTGGAAATTAGGTAATTTGGTTAATGTTGCAAAGTTAGTTTAATTAGAATTAAATTGGTTAATTTAGAAAACATAAAAACAAGAGAGAGGGGTTATTTATTGGGTTTTATATTGAATTTGGGCCAAAGAACGATCTCAGCGGCCCAATTGCCCCAAAACCTGTCCCAGCCCAAGAAGCCCACTTCGTCCCTAGCCTATATCACTCCCTTAAATACCTAAACCCTTCCCCATTCTTCTGCTAGACCTAATCACAATCAGATCCCCCTTTTCTTTCCTAAAAGATAGAGACAGCCGCACAACACCAAAGGCTAAGAGAGATTAGCCGCAGTAAGCAAAAACAGAGGGAGCGAGAGCTCATCTGGACATTAAAAACGCTGTTCAACCAAAGTTTTGAACCATCAAACTCCATTAATTTCTCCAATTCCTAAAACAAGATGAACTTGTTTATTGCTTTCCATTATTTCCTGAGTAATGTCAGACATGATTTCTGTAAGATCGACAAGGGCAGAGAATTTATTAGGATAGACAAAAGTTTGTGTCATTCTTGAAATATGCTGAAACTAAATGAAGTTCTTGCAGTTTGGGCTGCTTACGCCAATTGTGGTGTCAAAGCTTTAACTGAAGACTGCTTCTGGCTGCTTGACAGTTGAATTGATCTTACAAGGAAATGAGCTTCCAAAATCCGGGCTTTTAAAGGAAATCGCTACAATTTCTGTTGGACTGTGTTGCTTCCTAGATTGCTGGGTGTCGTTCCTCAATTATTCGACATTTTGGCTTATTTCAAGCTCTATTTTTGAAGCTTTCGCTTGGGAATTCATTTTTGTATTGAATCAAATATTGGAGAAGGCTTCATATGAATTTCTTTTAAATGTACCATTTCTCACTTTGATTTCCTATTATTTTGTTGGATTAGCTAGTTGATGAACTTTCCTATTCCTTATCATTATTATTGATTGATTTTCCCTCTGTCCGTACTTATATCCTTTTTGCATGTATATATGAGTGTCACTTTATTTACCTATATTATGTTGTTGTTGGAAGATTTTTCTTGAATTTGAGCATTTGAATGGTATTAGTCAAATTTTGTTTGTTCTCTGAAGTAAGGTTGAGTGCTCAAATATAGTTTGTTGCCTAATGTGAATATAATGGTTTGGACCGGTTCGAAATAAAATCCAACCAGCTTCAGTCAAGTTTGAGAGTCATCATGTATGAACGCCTAGAATCTTAGAGTCCATCTTCTTGGATCCTTCTTAGCTTGCATTTCTCCTGTTGGACTCCACATCCACTCATTATTAGAAATCATATCCTGGATCTTCCACATGCATGGTTAAGGTAAATGTTGTTTAGTTCTGTCATAGAACAAGTTTTATTGAAAAGTGCTGATGGTTACTACAAGATTTCAGTTTGCTCCTATTTAATATAGAGTTTTTTTTAATATCTAAATAAATGTGATGCTGCAAATTTTTGTTCACTGGTTTGATATTCGTTCCCTTTGTGATAGAGCTGTAAATGAACGTCCTGTATGCTAATTGTACAAGTTCTCTCCTCTATTCTTGCTGTAAGGCTTCAGCAAATCACATAATTAGTATGTGAGTTACATATCTAAGCGGGTGGAGCTTCTTGTTTGAATATCTAGTAACAAATGATAGTAGAAGAAAAGAACTACCGACTATGGACCTCCTAATAAACTTACTGGAAGTTATCGTATTAATTTAGTGTAGAAATTAATGTTTGGGAGATTCTTTGGTAATATGAGTAGAACTGTAATAATTACCCGAATTGTTGCCACAATGACTTTGTAAATTACTTGATTATTCATAGTTAGGTTTCATTCATTGGAGTGTCTTAATTGTATTTTAAATTTGCAAACATGTTGCTGGACACAAAGAGACTATTGTTTTGACATTGCTATATTTTGAGTATGATGATTCCATTCATTATTTTCTAAATTACGTCTCCTGAGCCAAATAAAATTCCACGCCAGTTTGAGTATTCTAAAAAAATTGTCAACCATTTCAAATGGTAAAGCTAAGAAGTAAACTTTTTGGCTAATTTCCTTGCTTTATTCTGTTCAAATTTATTACTTTATCCATATTAAATTCCATAATCTATGGCCTTTCACAACAACCTCAAATTTAGGGAATTCTTTTAAAATTAATACACTTGTAGCTTGCTTTAGGCGTGATAAATAAATCATTGTGGCCATGGGTACGGTTCCCGTGGCATGGTCACGATATAATCCCCAATTTTAGTGTGTGTTTCATGTGACTCGACGTTATAATTTTAAATAATAATAAAATACACATGTTGTAGACCGCGGGTATGGTTCCCGTGACGCAACTCACAATGTGTACAAAAACAAACAAGTGTACGGCAATCATAGCTTGTTCAAGAAATAATTCCATAAATCTTAAAAAGCAATTCAAAATAATTAAAAACAGTTTAAAAGGTTAAAAATGCATAATAGGTTTAAAACGTATTGTAAATCAGATAATAGGCCAATTATTAATAGTTTAAGCGACCGTGCTAGAACCATGGAACCCGAGAATGCCTAACACTTTCTCCCGAGTTAACAGAATTCCTTACATAGAATTTCTGGTTTCCCGGACTTTTAAATAAGGTGATTTTCCTCGATTTGGAATTTTAAAAATAAACCGGTGACTTGGGACACCAAAACAAATTATTCCAAGTGGCGACCCTAAAAAATAATAATCTCATTTCGATTAATGTCACTTTAATTGGAAAAACTCCCCTATACCCCTTCGGGGTGGTAAAAAGGAGGTGTGACAAAGCCTCAGGGCTACCTTCTCCTTCAGATCAAGTTAAACGCTCTCTCAGTTACTTTAGCCCAGGGGTCATCCGTGTCCAAGCGTATCCTCATCCGGGATCTATCTCTATCGCCTTAGGGCTATCTTCACTCTAAGTTCAAATCAAGTTTTTTAGGCTGCCCCAACTCAAGCAAATTCTCACTCGGGGACTGTCTGTGAAAGTTTAAGGTGTATCTTTATTCTTAGACGATCGAGCACATTCTCCCTCGAGGAATATCAATGGGCCATAAAAGGCTAAATTTCGTCCTAATATTCGAAGCCCCACTCTCACTCAATTCGAAGTCAAGGGTCACGGCGGCCTAAGTTTGTATCAAGTCAATTCGGACTCAGCCCGAGGAACAACAAAGGGTTTCAGGGAATATCATATTAACCAATCAAGAACCAAGGAAATACCTACACCCGGGTTCTGTATTCAAACTGATCGATAAAGTCACATACTCAAATTCTTTACAAACGCAGACAAAGGAAAATCCAGCACAAATCAAAGACAAGTTGAAGAAATATTTTTGTATTAATAAACGATAATTACAAAAGCCCACGAGGGGTCCTTAAAACAAAAACAAACAAGCAAAAAATTACGGCTAGAAGTCTAATCTACTCTCAGAGGTACATCATCGAAAGCAATATCTGCGAGAACCATTTCCTCGGGGGCCCCATCTCAATCTTCCAAACTCCGTCTTGAACGATCTCAAAGAAGCAGAAAAAGATGAAGAAGAAGAAGAAAAAGATGAAGAAGAAGCAGAAAAAGATGAGGAAGAGGTTGTAGCCCGCCAAAGAGCAAATGCTTTTAACAGGCCGGGAAAATCGTGGCTTGGTAAAAAATTTGGCGAGTATGGGTATCACCAGCACTACTATTGGGAAGCCACTTCTTGAGACGTTGCACCTCTGTGGGATGAAATGGTCAGTAGGTAGCACCACCTCACTCCATGGAAAGCAAAAGGAGTGAAGTGCAGCACCAGGTTGAGGTTAAGAAAGATGACCAGCAGTCTACGGTCCACATATCCTTTGATACGAGAATAATTTGAGATCCCTCTCTTGTTATTTCGGGCCAACAGGAACAACAACAAAAAAAATCAGTATGATCCCCATTAGTAGGGAAAGTTCTAAGAAAGAGCCATGGCATAACTGGCGAGACCACTACCGTGCGACCTTACGGTCATGGGCTTGAAACATGGAAAATAGAATTTGGATGATGATGAGGAGAAGAAAAAGAGTTGAAGGTTGTTGAAGAATGACTGGATGGATTTGTGGTTCAAGAATGCTCCCATTTATTGAAAGGCGGTAGCGTAACCGACGGCATAATCAATGCCTTTGGGAAATGTATCGACAGACGCAATCAATGCATTTTGGGAAACAGATCGACGGTGATATTATCGCTTTTGGGAAAATAAACCGGCGCTAGATTGAATGCCTCTAAAAAATAAACTAATGCGACGTCTCAGTTATCACAAAAGCTTACGTCATAAGCATGATGTCATCATGAGAGGCTCGAGGAGATCGTCATCAAAATTGTTTCTTATCATTTTAATCTAAGAAATCGGGGACTATCTGTATACGGTAAAAATCGGAGGGTCCAATTTTATGATCATTATGGCACTTCCTAAGACCACCCCTAGAAATCTCGAGGCTCTGCTCGAGTTTAGATCCCGAGCGTTCTCAATGATCGACCTCGAGGCAGAGCAAATCAGTAGCTATGATGGACAAACGACAAGTTCCCAAGGCACGTGACTAAAGCTGACCTAGTCCATTAGGCTAGTTCAAGCTCGTACCATGGCATTAAATGGTTGTACCAGCCTCAAATCCTTGTAATAAATGCGTCTATACTATGTTGGGATTTCCCCTCCAATATAAGGTGGACCCTTGTTATTTTTTGCACACAGGATACTACACACAACATTCAATATACAAGAACATTCTCGCTCTCCAACTTAAACATATTCTCGCTTGATTCAATTGCTTACATTTATTGTGTTTCATTAATTGTTCTTCATTTATTGCTCATTATTGATCATAAAGAGCCTTCATCAAAGCTCCCAAAATTGTAATTCCTTCATCGGTTGTCCACAGCTTAGTATCTAGATCGACCTCGAGGCCTCGTATAACCTGGATCTAGGCCCCGATTTTCAACCACTCGGTTTGTATGAACCTACTGCTTTCAAGTTCCTATCTCATTTTCTAGTCTCACACTTAGCATCTACTGCTTAACAGCTAGCATAAAAATATATCACGTATTTTTAGAACTACAAAATCAAATTTAATTGTAATTACCATTTTCAAAGTAAACAGTATTGTTGCTTTACCTTTACACGAGCGCGAGGAAGAAGAACGCACATCTTCCTAAGGAACAGGGGTGGATGTTTTCGCCATTCTTGCTAAGAGATTGTAGAGGATAAATGAAAATTGCATTTCAGAAGAGAACACAAGAGAGAGGAAAGAGGAACTCTTTTTGAGGGCTTGGTGGAAAATAAGGAGCGAAAGAAGAAGAATTTATTAAGGTCTAACGTGCACGTTGGAGTGAAACAAAGGACAACCAACCGCTGTAATTAATTCAAAGGCTTTTAAGAGCTCTATAGAAGCGACCTTTAGGAACCTCATTTTGTCATGTCTATCGCTTGATAGGGCGTGAATACCGTCGTGATGGAATTATCGAAGGGGAAAGAATTTGAGATCGTTTCTTATCGATTTTCTCTAAGAAGATCATGGACTATCTGTATACGGATAAAATCGTATAGCCCTATTTTACGATCATTTTGTCTTTTTGTAGCCTCACCTCGAAGGCCTAGGGGTACGGATCGTGGTTTCAACCTCAAGGGTTCTCTATGCCCAACCTCGGCGCGGCTTAAATTGATGGTTATCGTGGATAAACAGGAAGTTCCCTAGGCACGTGGTCAAAGCTGACAACACCTACAAGAATAGTACCAGTCTGTACCAGACTGCTAAGTAGCTGTAATAGCTATATTTCTTTGTAATAAATGCACATGTACTATATTGGGATTTTCCCTTCTATATAAAGGGGACCCTTGTTACTTTTTGCACACAGGATACTACACACAACATTCAATATACAAGAACATTCTCTGCTCTCTAACTTAAACATATTCTCCCTTGATTCTATTGCATACATTTATTGTGTTTCATTAGTTGTTCTTTATTTATTGCTCATTACTAATCATAAAGAGCCTTCATCAAAGCTCCCAAAATTGTTATTCCTTCATCGGCTGTCCA